CCTCCTCCTCTCCTCCTCCCTCCCTCCCTCCCTCCTCCTCTCTCTCTCTCTCTCTCTCTCTCTCGTCGAGAACGCGACCCATCGCAGCAACCCCTCGCAACCCTACTACATATACTATACACACGCACATACATCGCCCCTTTCTCCCTCATTCACAGGCGCACGCTCGCGATACATACATATAAATCACGTCTGTGCCAGGTTATCGAACACGCGGCCTGACGTCACAAAGGTACATCGCCGGCCTCGCATCGTCGAGCAAAGTAACTCTTCACTCGCGTTTCGTCACTCGCGCGGCAGCAGGTCGAGAGAGAGAGGGAGAGAGAGAGAGAGAAAGAGATAGTGCACGATGCTTTAATAGACTGAGATATATTATATGCCTCGTATATGTATATACATATAATCGATGTACAACGACGTTTCATAACGAGAGACTATTTTCTGCTACTATCAAAAAAAACCTAAATCGTCTCTGTCGAAGACAAAGTTTTTGTCGTCGTTATTCTTCGTGCAAAATACCAGTGGAATATGAAAATATCTATATCTCACTTTTGTATGGAAAATATCTATATCTCATATTTGTATAAAATACATAGCGATGTACTTCATTGGAATACGCCGATTACTTTTGCGACTAATCAGCATATCGGTTTTCGCCGGTATATCAAGTGTTTTTCGTGCGATAAGCATAACAACGTATACACGTTCGAAGGTTTCGTTACTCAAAACAATATTGGATGCCATGATGTATAATATAATATTAGATCTTGAAATAATAATAAAAATGCGATGTATATCGAGACGTACATCTGTTGAGAGAAGAAATGCTGCTTGTGGATGAACAAAACTCAGCCGTCAATTGAACGGATTACATAATTATTGCAACAGATTAACAATTCAACGATTACAATTGTTCGCGCAACAGTATCAATAAAATTTGTCGTGGCATTGACACACAGTTCTTTTATTAGATCTTACTTGAGTTTTGTTCATTCAAGCCAATTTTCTTTAAAAAGGAAAAAATTAATTATCGCAAACGGTATTTCATCACTTTTCGTCATCAAGAATGTGCGCGATAATTTAAAAACAATTGCATTAAAGTAATGCAACAGGATGTATAAGCAGTGTACAAAAAAATATACCTTGAAACCGTCATCTTCTTCGTCATCTTCGGGATTGTAAGTCTCCGCGAAAACGCTCTTCCTTCTGGAAGCGAATCGGCCGACTGGTGGCTCTAAAGTACAAAAGAAACATTTTTACTTAAACAGACATATAATCACGCTTAAATTAAAACAAAAATAAGATGTGAAGAAAATAAGTTTAATTGATATTAAATTAGTATAATAAAGTTTTAAATATAAAATAAAATATAGAAGATAATTAAAATACTAGTAAAGACGTAATAGCTCAATTTATTTCTAGTGTTGATTAATGGCGAAATAGTAGAAGAGAGGAAAACAATAAAGGGATAAAAAAAATAGCCGTCCAAAAACAGACACCTTTTTAGGCGTAAAAGACTAATACTTTTACGCAAGGTTGATAATATTCTCTAATGCAAATAATAAAAAGGTCCCGAGCTATCTCTAATTCTGATTATTTTAAAACTCTTGGTTTTGAACTCTTGAATCTAAAAATGCATGATTATTGAATTTATGATTGCGTTTATATTACGTCATTTCCGAGGAAAAAATTTCCAAGATTTCAACACAAAGTGCAAAAGCATAAAATATTGTCGGTTATTCTATGACGTAAATGCAAAAGTTTTATTGTCACGATAGTTTATTTGTTAGTCACAGAAAAACCCCGATAATTTAGAAGAAAAAAGAATTGTCACTTTTGACATTTACATTTACGACATTAGCATTTTAAGTGGTTTTACAGAAATATCACGTGTATACTTCTCAAAGTTTACAATAAGTTTGCAAAGAAGAGATCCTCATAATGCACTTTATAATTCGTAATTGAGATTAGACCTTCTTTTACAATGATTGATACTATAAACATTTTCCCAAGTGTCGATTTTTCGTCTGGTTTACGCACACATCACAAGAGAAATGGATATATTAAACGCGATATCGTACCGCCATTCTTCAAGACACGAAAAAGTCTTCGGTAAAAATTTTATTTCTCGTTTTATTTCCATCTCAATTGCGAAGCTATCATACGTGATATAGAACTTTCTTACAATCGGTGGCTCTTAGCAATATTAATAATAATTTTACGTGAAAAAAGCATGTTAAAAAGTAGAGTAGATAGAGTTTTGTCGTAGTTTTCTGTTTGAGAAAATTTGAGATTTCAATAATTCATGAATGGTTATTCTCTTTTTGCGTATTAGATAAAGGTGGCTTTCGAAAATAATATAACTAGCTTAGTTCGGATTTAATTGCATAAAAGAAATAAATAAAAAGTACATTGCATAAATAACTATACTGTAATAAAACAAATTTTTTTTAACAAACACTATAAAGTCTATCAACTTTATAAATCATCATTATTTTTTTCTAAAATAAAAATAAAGAGTTTAATCTAGAGTTATTCAAAAAACTTATCCGAACACTTATGCCTCTTACTATTAATTTTAATAATAAATGTATTATGATATTGCAGCATCTTTATCAACTTATATCACCTTTATCATCTACAGGCTCGATGACGGAGAGCGACATTTGGTCGGAGTGACAGTTGGAGAGAAAAGGGAAACAGAAGAGACGTGCACAAGTTTGTCCTTTTCAGCTGCGCGTTTATGTACGCACACACTTCCCTACACTTGATACGAAACAAGTATATCTCTCGATGTAAGAGTGATATCTCGTATCTCTGCTCTCTCTCTTTCTCCCTCTCTTACAAATAACTTGTACACATAAATTTCTCATACAATTATGTGAAGAATGAAATTTCTATATACTGAACCACATTATTATCCAAACATCATTCAACTGAATATTCTATTATCCGAATAGTGTTGCGTGAGAGACAAAAACAATTTAAAAAATAAATTTTATGTCAATTTGCACAAGTAAATTCAATTTTCATAATCTTACAAAAACCAAGATGTGAAAATTGTGACAAACATGACGTTGAAAATGAGTAGTTTACGAGCAACGAAATGGATAATGATGAAATTATCAAAAAGATTATGGCAAAACCAAAGATGAAGAGACGAAAAAACAAGGAAAATACATTTCGGAAAATGATATTGCCAGCTATTCGAAAGCATCCAATGCTTTAGGAATACATCTCGGATGATAAAGCACGTAAAAAACACAATAAAATTAGAAAAACCGATAAAGTAGAATGAAAAATAAATGCGATGAATACTTTCTTTACATAAAATGTAAATTTAGGCAAAACAAAATCGCAAGATTAATTATCAAAACAAATTGTTTCCCACGATTTCAGATAATAGAGATTCTTCTGTAATATGAAATATAAATATGCATAAAAATGCATAAAAACTTGAAGATTAAAACAGTTTTTCAGTTCGAAGAAGGAGAGATTAATAATTACAACGCTAATGCAAAGACAAGAAATGTCGTAAGGAATGCAGAAAAGAATCATAATTTCGAAACATTGTCTTAAATTTCACAAGAAACGACGTCAAGTATTCACTTTCCGCCACACACACACACATATACACACAATTCAGGGACCTACCGCAAATATAATTATAAATACTAGGTATTTCTTACGACATTTCTTACCACTTCTTATACATTAGCATATTATACAAGCATTTTGCATAACGATACAATTAAACTGATGACAATCAAACAAATTAAAATACATTAGCACTTTTAAGAGATGCTCTATCCCAGCTGGAAAAATGCTGCGAAGGCACTTACGAGATATCACATCTATAACCGATTTATAACTGATCTATAACGCTCACGTTTTCGCGCGAACAAAACAAAAAGGTCGATAGTGAGCATAAAAAGCGTGAGCTAAAAAGAGTACAATTCGAGATTTGGCAATTCGCAATCACATCGAGAAAACGAAACGAGACTAGACTAAACTAGACTAAGCTAGATGAGACGAGACACGCTTGTTACGCCGGCCAAGCGTTAGACGAAACTGTTGAAACCGCTGCGCATCCAGGAATCTCAGCTCGCAACAGCGCCTGACCGGACTGAACGCGTTGGCGCGATTGCTCGAGCCATGGTTTTTCAAAACGCGCGCAGATCTTAAACATTTTATGAAGAAACTAACCTAATAAAAAAAATAAAAAA